GGCTATATAACAAGACTCTGTTTCAAAAACCAAAAAAAAGGTGAATAAAGAGAACCTAGATGAAATATATCTAGTAAAAATATGTTATTTAGCCAGGCTTTTGTGGCTTATACCCATAATACTTGCTACTCAGAAGGCTTTATGAGGATTGTAGTTCAAAGCCAATTTAGGAAGGAAAGTCAGCGAGACTCTGATCCCCAATTAACCACCAAAAAGCCAGAAGTAGAGCTGTAGCTCAAGTAATAGAGCACAAAAGCTCAAGAAATGACAGTGCTCAGTCCCAGAATTCAATCCCTAGGACCAGTTCACACATAAAAAAGTATTTTGTTGTTGTTGGTAGTGGTTGTGGGGCTTGAACTCAGGGCCTGGGCATTGTTCCTGAGCTCTCTGGCTTAAGGCTAGTGCTCTATTACTTTGAGCCACAGCTTCACTTACAGTTTTCTGGTGGTTAATTGGAGATAAGAGTCTCACAGGGACTTTTCTGCCCAGGTTGGCTTCAAACTGTGATTCTCAGATCTCAGTCTTATAGCTAGGACTACAGATGTGAGACACTAGAGCCTGGCCTATGCTTTAGTCTTGCCAAGGGAAAAAAAAATGTACCTGAAATCCTAGATGTCAGTTTATAGGAAGCATCGATCATGCTCTCGGTAAAATCCAAAGTGAAGAACTACAGAAAAATGGTCTGCTTTCCTAGAAAAATAAATAAAAATAGGGGAAACTACATATTCAAAGAAACCTAAAAGAAATATCCACCAAACACACTGTATAGATGTTTCCACTTGTACTCTAAATCAAGCAATGAACAAGAGAAGAAAGGGAAGGAAGAGGGAGTAAGGTCAGGGATGTGACCAGTGCCGGAATGTTGTTCAAGGAACTATCACCATTTGGGGTATGATCATAGTTTTTAAAAAGATTTCCTATCTGGGCTGGGAAGGTGGCTTAGTGGTAGAGTGTTTGCCTCGCATGCATGAGGCCCTGGGTTCGATTCTTTAGTACCACATAATCAGAAAATGTTGGAAGTGGCGCTGTGGCTCAAGTAGTAGAGTGCTAAACTTGAGCTGAAATGCTGAGGGACAGTATGCAGGCCCAGAGTTCAAGCTCCATGACCAACAACAACAACAAAATTTCCTATCTCTTGGAAACATACATTGAAGACCTGAGGGTGAGAGTTTGTGAGACCTTGAGATCACTCTGCTATGGCCTCAGCTGAGGGAAGTTAGCGGGCAGAGGTGGGCACAGCCTCACCAAAAGTGACTGTGGTTGGTTTGTTACAGTCTCTATTTTTATCTGTATTTGAATTTTTTCTTTGGTCAATCGTGGGGCTTGAACTCTGGGCCTGGGCACTGTCCCTGCACTCTTCAGCGCAAGGCCAGTTCTCTACCACTGGAGCCACAGCACCACTTCCGGTTTTCTGGTGATTAATTGGAGATAAGAGTCTCACAGACTTTCCTGCCCAGGCTTGCTTTGAACCATGATCCTCAGATGTCAGCCTCCTGAGTAGCTAGGATTACTGGCATGATCCACCATCACCCGGCTGTAGTTAAAATTTTTTATACAATAGTTTAAGACACAATTTTGAGTGGGGAAAAAAGACAGAATGGTAATTACAATTAGACATTATTTTCATAAACTTAATAGCACAAAATAGTACAATGAGTTGATTATAGGTTCACTGAAAGTGAGTGAAACTATGAAAAGGGACTGAGGAAATTCAAGCTGGCTTCAGAAAGGGGCTGTCTGAAAGGGGCAGGGAGGACAGAGGACTGAGTGGGATTACAAAAAATGGCTCTTTTTATTTCAAAATATCTTCAGGATTAGAGAACTATTTTAAATATCATACAAACAATTTCACCTCCCAAATACTGTTACCCGGGTCTTCTGTCTGTGTATCTATGTGTCTGTGTCTCTCTGACTCTCATTTCCCTCTTTCTCTGTTTCACACACACATACACACAAACATGCACACACACAAACACACATACATTCACTTTCTCTGAACAACTTGAGGACAGGTTGAATATAATACATGTTATCTCAACAATTCACTGTATATTTTCCAAGAACAAACCCATTTTCACATGTAACCACAGCACAATCTTCAGATTAAGGCTATGTGACCACTGATACTTTCAGTTTACTTCCCACTTTCTTAATGAGTTCACTCTGTGGCTCTTCTCCAGCGCAGAGTTCAGTGTCACATACCTTCACATATCTGCAGGACTTCAATCTGCAGTGCCCCAAACCTCTTGTCTGACATTGCATGGGCGTATTTTAAGAACACAAGATACTTCTTTCACAGAACTCTCCTGAATTTGGTTTTCCTCATAAGTAAATGCAGATCTTGCAGCTCCAGATGAAAGCATAAAATGGTGTCAGTCATCTGAACCTGGAGTCCAAAGATATCCATGGGGTACCTCTAGCTGGGGAGTTGAGATTGACCTTGGACCAGGGTTCGTCCAGTTTCCTGCTGCCCACTTGAGAAGTACCTCCTCAGGCACTGGAAGGTCTCCCTCCTCAGCAACCTGACATTCATTGGCTGCACTTTTCCATCAGGAAGCCTGGTGTTCAGTATCTGTAAGAGATGACATTGGATAAGACCATGTGTTCAAAGAGCTAGGTCAATACAGCTTCTATCATGAAGCAAGCTATGCATAACAGTACTGGATTTTAAAATTTCACCTGAATCTTGTACAGATGTTCTTCTAGAAAGCACCACATGGTCATCTCATATTTAAAATGTCACACATATAATCGTCCGATTCTGCCCCAACCCTGCTCACCACATTTCCCTCACCTTGGTGTCACCACTGTCCAAAAGCTGTGTAGGGGCAGGTCTTCCTCTCTCCCTCATCCTAGTCTCTCAGACAGGCTCCATGCCTGCCAACTCTTTCTCTATGGCCCAGCTAGACCACCATGCCTTGGAACCACCTCCTGTCTCCCATCTTGCCTTCTTCCACACATAGAGACAGTGTTTATAACCATACTGCTGGTCTGCCTTGGTCCCTCAAAGGTTTCAGCTCCTGGGTGTGCTCCACACCACAGGAGTGGGATCCTAGCCTCTCTGTCTTCACAGTCCCCAGTCTACTGTGCTACACACAGGGGTTTGTTTTCAGACTGTATTGTGCATTTATTACAGTACCAGGGGTGGGACCCAGGGCCTTGTTCATACCAGGCAAGTGCTCTACTGCTCATTTTTACCCCAAATCCCACACGGTCATTTTAGATGGGCTTTGGGTGGCCACGGTTCCTAACGTTGTCATCTTCAGATCATCACATCAGCTAATACACTCTGGTAGTCAATGTCCTAGAATATGAGAGATTCATTTTACTACAAAGACTAATATAATAATATATTATAATATATATTTTCCTGCATGGAAAATCCTAGTTTAAAATCAACATTTTCTAGTAATGATACATCTTTTTTGTTTTTAACCGAGACTGGGACTCGAACTCTTGATTTAATGTTTTCACTCATTGGCTGATGGTCTACTACCTGGGCCACGCCTCCAATCCTGTGGTACATCTTCTAACAGGAAACTCAGCAGGTGCGGCTTTGTAACCAGTGCTGAAATTATTGCCCTGAAGACATCACTAGGCTCAGACAGCACAGCAAGGCAGGGGAAAAGACATGGCCTCCTGCAGGAAGGGTTCCAACCAGGCAGGCAGGGAGGTAGGCCTGGTTTTTAGTACTTAGAGTCCTTTCTCTACACCTACTTGATTCTTTTATCTAACAGCACAGTGTGGGACCCTGTCTGAGGGCTTCCTGCTCCTCTCAGGGGGACATTATATTCTGAGTTAGATCATGAACCTCAGTTGGAGCTTTCAACCATAGGCTGATATGGAATCTTTGACACCATGAGCCATTATATCCCAGTGCTAATAACTCAGAAGCTGCACACCTAAGTTTGTTTACCTGCTGAAACGGCCCCTGGAATCTCACTGCTCACTTTGTGCCACAGGTGCAGAATGCCCAGCCACTGGTGGACACCCATGCACCACCAACTTTCAGCCATCTGCACCTGAAGCTCAAGAGGCTGAAGGTATATGATTAATCATGCTGCCCAAGGTCTTAGTGCCCCACAAGACCCAGGGATGCGGGTAGGGAGACAGAGTCTCTAGTTAAAGACAACTGTAGGCTTGGTGGTCAGCTGATACAGTCCTACCCCAGTTGAAATGGTGGGTAATTACACTGGAACCTTCTAGATCCTCAAGCTGAACCATCATGCCTCACCTTCGGGCAGTGCTATTTCTACAGGGAAGCTTCAGAAAACACACTTCCTTTGAACTAGAACGTTGTTTGGCTGCTCAGAATGCTTATTCTTGAGCTTTAGGCTGTTCAGCAAGAGTGAGGCCTGGGTGGCATATTCCGGCAAAGCCTCCATGGCACACTGAGACATCCCTCTTACATGGCTAGGAACAATACGGGAATGGGCTGAACACAAGTACAGCTCATTTTGAGCAAACCCAAAGGTCAATGTATTTTAAAGTGACACATTATTTTCTCTGGGCCCAAAGACCCTTCTCTTCAGAACAATGCAAAATATATCTCTTTTAAAATATAAAATCATTTCAATATTAATGTGACTACCAAGTTATCAGTTTGAGAAAGTGGCATCATTTTGGAAGATGCTGTAGCTCCTCACTGCTGCAAATTCACAGCACAGTAGCACGCGCCCCTGGTTGCGGGCATGCGGGCCACCGGCGAGGCTAGGGGACCTGTAGGGGGCAGTCAGGAGAACTGTGCTCCGAAGTCTGGGCTCCTCAGGGATCTCCATGTCTGCAGCTGGAGGAGGAACGGCTGTCTGTCATCGACAGGGACAATCGCCTGCTTCTGCAGAAGGTGGCCTCTGCTATGCGGAACAAGAGACAAACTGATGGCAGAATCAACTCCAGAAATCAGAGGTAACTGAGAGGCCAGCTATGAGGGTGGAGCGAGGCAAGGTGTACTGTCCCCTCCACCCCAGGATGAGAGCAGGGAGTGCTCCGGCAGCGGCCCCCGAGTGCAAGCCATCTTCAAAGCCCTGGGCTTCAAGGCCCCTAGAAGATGGGAACCCAAGGTGACAATTACCCTGACCTTGGACCTGTTGCACATACCATTCAATGAACTGCTGGACTCTTCATTCTTACCAGGACCTAGTGAGGTAGAGTGGTTGTGTTCCTTCCTTCACACATGGGGGAACTGAGGCATAGGGTGCCTGCAGAATTTAGCCAAGACTGCAGTCAAACCTTGGTGAGTGCAAGGTGTTCCCAACATTGCTCATTCAGCAGTCCACAAGCCATCATTTTGCTTATTGTGGGGCATCTATAACTGAGACATGCCTCCAACGCCAAGCCATCATTTTCCACAACCAGCAGGTCTGCGTTCTTCCTGGTCTGTCAAGGAGAATAAAGACGTGCACAAATCCCGAAAGGGCCTGGGGCCACTTCACATCAGCCAGACTGTGGTGCTGATCCTGTTCTCTAGTAACCCCTGCTTTCCCTAGTGTTGACTTTGGCCCTTTGGCAGAGGAGAGAAGTGGACCTTCCTGCTTCCTGTCCCTCCACACCACCCTATGAACACTAGCACATGTCCCCTGTTCCTGCGGCCTCAGCCCTAACCCAGCTTGCTAGTTGTCCTTCCCTTTAAGGGTGGGGCCCAGAAGCAAGGGTGGTGGTGAGGGAGGCTTTCCTTCAGAAACACTTGCATTTTTTTTTTGTCTGTTGTGGGGTCTGAACTCTGGGCCTGGGCGCTGTCCCTCAGCTCTTCAGCTTAAGGCTAGCACTCTACCACTTGAGCCACAGCGCCACTTCTGCTTATATTCACCGTATGTTGCCATGACAAGCCTAGAGAGTGAGAGTTTCTCTTCTGTAAGAGTCAGGCTCATGCTCCATCTGCTGGCTCCTCTGTGTCCAGTCTATTTGCTGCTGACTGAGCCACTGGAAGTCACACATTGTTTAAGTACAACTGTCCCTCTCTTTGTGCCTCAGTGCCCTTCCTAGTAGAGAAAGATCCAGAATGTTCTTCCAGGCTGGTTACCTCTTATTCAACTTCAATCTCACCTCAGTGTTGTGCTCCAGGAGACTTGACCCCGATCAAAATGAGGCTCCCCACATATCACACATACTTGTAGTTGGTGTGTGTGTGTGTGTGTGTGTGTGTGTGTGTGTGTGTGTGTGTTTGCCTATTTACCATCTGTTTTCACAGCATGAGACTGGTGCCTGTAGGAATTTTCTCTATTCTGTTCGTCACTGTTCTGTTCATCACTGTACACCTATATTCTGTGCAAAAGCTTACTGTGAGTACTCAGTAAATGTTTGCTGAGCAGCTGAATAATTGAATGAGGTCACCAAGAACTCACAGTTCCCAAATCCATCAAACCGTTTCCCTTTTTAAAGCATAAAAATAATTTTCATGTTTTTCCTGATCATACACAGAAAGTAGAAAGAAATTTTAAATTACCTATATTTGTATTTTCCAGTGTGTGTGTGTGTGTGTGTGTGTGTGTGTGTGTGTGTGTGTGCTCACACGCGGCCATGTACATGGTTCTGAGGTTTGAACTCAGGGCCTTGCTTTTTCTAAGCAAAAGCTCTACCACTTGAGCCACAATCCCAGCCCTTTCTGCCTTCCTCAGGTTTCAGATAGGGTCTTGCTTTCTGCTCATATCCCTGGGTCTGTCCTCCCTTCCTTGCTGGTGGCTTCATTCTCCTTTTGAGACTCTGCCCAGCATCTCCTCCTGGAGCTACCTCCACCCACATCCGTGAGAGGACAAGCACCTTCACTTCACCTTATGAGCCTTCCTGCCTCCTGAGAGTGGGTTGAACAGGTTTGTTTGAGGTTTGTTTCCTGGGTTAGCGAACAGCAGCCACACACACGGCAGCCACTACTTGCCCTGTGAGTGCAGAGCTGCTATTGTAACTTTCAGCATGTCATGAAAGGCATGAGTTCTCTTCTGAAGTCTTCCCAGGGAGAAAAGAAAACAAGAACTTCACAGAATGCAAAAAGAAAACAAAGTCATATTAGAGAGAATCACAAATGCACAGCCGTGGTACAGAGCACAGAGATGGTGGAGGACTTGGACTCCAAATGAGAAGCTTGGGGACACAGTCACAAAACACCCTCAGAAACATCAGGCAAATCTGGTGAGAAGGTACCTGTGGTTTCTCCGGTGATATAGATTCATAGCTGTCTGAAATTCCATTTCTCTCTGTCAGTTTCTGAAGCATGTTTTTCTCTTGTCAGTGAGAAGATGTCACGCGGTCACAGAAGCCGTGGTGTGGCCTGCCAGAATTCATTCATCTTTTAAGGAAAAGTAGAAAAAAAATAAGCTCAGTTGATTGATGACACATTCCGGGAAAAATTAACTAAATCAGTAGCTTGACAGATAGCACTCACCAAACTTCATTAAGAATCATGTGGCCAGGCATTAGTGACTCATGCCTACAATCCTAGCTACTCAGGAGGCTAAGATTTGAGGATCAGAATTTGAGGCCAGCTTGGGTACAAAAGTCTATGAGATTCTAATCTCCAATAAACTACCCAGAAAAAGATGGAAATGGCACTGTGTCTCAAGTGGTACAGTGCTAGCCTTGAGCAAAAGAAGCTCAAGGACAGGGCCCAGGCCCAGACTTCAAACCCCAGGACATTGAAGAAAGAAAGAAAGAAAGAGAGAGAGAGAGAGAAAGAAAAAGAAAGAAAGGAGGAAAGAAAGAAAGAGGGAGAGGGAGAGAGGGAGGGAGGGAGGGAGAGAGGGAGGGAGGGAGAAAAGGAGGAAGGGAAAGAGAAACAAAGAAAGAGAGGGAGGGAGGGAGGAAGGAAAGAAGGAAGGAAGGAAGGAAGGAACAAAGGGAGAGAAAGAAAGAAAGGAAGGAAGGAAGGAAGGAAGGAAGGAAGGATGTGAGCTAAGCACTGGCTACTTATGCCTATAATGCTAGCTACTCCAAATGCTAATATTTTTGAGAAGTGTAGTTTGGAACAAGCCTGGTAAGAGAAATTGAATTATCTCCAATTAACCTGAAAAAATAAAAGCCATAAGCAAAAAAGCCAAGCAATAGTCCAAAGCTCTGAGTTCAAGCCCCAGTACAGAAGAAGAAAAAGAGAGAGAAAGAAATAAAGAGGTCATGTGACCATCCTGAATTAGCTGTCCCACAGAGAATCAGAACAGCAAAGAAAATTCATCATCTGAAAGAATTTGCCAGACAAGTTATATTCTGAACACTTTCTCTTCATCTCTATGAGCACTGTAAGATTGTGGTTCTGTATTTTTCTTTATACTTTTACAGTTTGCTTGATTACCTATGTTTAATAAATATAGAAGTCAATAAATGTAGAATTTTGTATTTTGCATAAAGCAGATATTTGGAAAAATGTGTTGCAAATTTAAAACATCAATTTTTTTTGCTAGTGGTGTTACTTCTGCCATCTTAATGTTTTTATCTTACTTTAAAATTTTATTTTTTTAGGGTGATTCAGTGGTATAGTGCTTGCCTTGCATGCATGAAGGCCCTGGGTTCTGTTCCTCAGCACCACATAAACAGAGAAAGCCAGAAGGGGTGCTGTGGCTCAAGTGGTAGAGCACTGGCCTTGAGCTGAATTGCTGAGGGACAGCGCCCAGGCCCAGAGTTCAGGCCCCATGACTGACAGGAAAGAAAAAAAAATATTTTTAGGTGTTCTATAATCACAAAAGTTAATTTTGTTTTTAAATGAGTACAGAGGCTTTTCTCCTGAGCTTGAGCTACTCATATTTATTTGGCATAGTTTACCTAGCAAATATCAAGAGAATGCTAGAATTGATGTTTAAACTCTTACCTTTGTTTAAAAAAAATACTTTGTAATTGTTATTATAAAGGTGATGTACAGAAGGGTAACAGTTACATAAGTCAGGACACTGTTACCCCTGGCCTCGCTCTCTCATTCCCCTACCCCACCCACAAACTGTATAATTCATTGTCAACATGGTGTCTAGTGAACACCACCACTGCATTTGTTTGCCCTTTGTACCTCCCTATCTGTGCCTCCCCTTAGACTCCCAAAACCATATGAAGAAACAAGCATGACAAAAAGAAAAGAAAATGAAAACAGCAACAAAGGAAAAAGACCTCCTTTCCACCAACTCTTACCTTTTACACAAGAGGAAGGGCCTGGCCTCAGAAGGGGGAGCTGCTGAGAAGCAGCGGACAAGAGGGAAGGCCCTTCTGTTTAAATGTGAACACTCCGTGGAGTGCCAGCTTCACTCAGAGAAAGCATGGTGCATCCGTGGCCCTGTGGCCATGCCCTGAGAACAGTCTTTGGAGACAGGCTCCTCTGGTGCTAGGCCTGGCGGTTGTTGCCAGCTCTGGCTTTTCCCCTCACATGACACACTGTCAACTGGCTCTAGTGTAGAAGATGACCTCTTCATAAACGGACTTCCAGACTTCTTAGGTTCGTTGCTAGGGCCTTTACCCTTGTGCATGTGAAGAAGAGGAGGTGAAGGCCATGCATGTGGACCCCTCAGCCCCAGGTAGGAGGGCTTTTAGTGCCTTGCTATCTGGTTCTTCAGCTTAAGAGACAAAACCTTGGCTTAGTATCTTCAGGGTCACAAGAAAGAAAAGCAAAATCAAGTTATCTGAAAACTACAGGTAAAGGAAAGGAAAGAATTGTTTTCTAGGATTAGAAGTTAGAAATAGTCTAAGAAATCTTGAAGGTTAGCTGCTTACCCTGCTGGCTGGCCAGTTGGGGCTGGGACCTTTCCTATTCAGATAGGGACTACCTTGAAGTTACAGAGGTAGATCTTTTGAGGACTTAGCAGAGAACCCTGTCCTCGCTGGAGCCTGGCGCCTGTGTGAGCCAGCTTCCATGGAGCTGCCTGCTCTGCCTGTGTCCAGGGATGGCCAGCACCCCACACATCTATGTCTGGTTTAAATATTAATTGGCAAAATAACTCAAAATAGGGCTGGGAAGGTGGCTCAGTGGTAGAGCGCTTGCCTTGCATGCCTGAGGCCCTGGGTTCGATTCCTCAGCACCACATAAGCAAAAAGAAAA